GTCCCTCACCTGGGCTCCACCTGCTCGAGGGGCACCTGCAGCCGCGCCGCCACGTCCTCGGGGGTCTCGCTGCCCTCCGAGATGATGCCCACGGCGGCCGCGATGGCCTTGGCCGTCACCGGGTGGTCACCGGTCACCATGATCACCTGGGGGCACCTGCGGCTCACCTGGGCTCACCTGGGCTCACCTGGGCTGCCGCCACCCCCCCCCCGGTGTTCCCGAATCCCCCCCGAAATCGCCCCAAATTCTTGTTGTCCCCAATCCTTAATGTCCCCAATCCCAATTTTCCCAATTTCCTCACTTTTCCCCCCATTTTCCCCATTTTTCCTCAATGTCCCCAAGGTCCCCAATCCTCAATGTCCCCAGTCCGAATTTTCCCAATTCCCTCGCTTTTTTCCCCATTTTTCCCCATTTTTCCTCAATGTCCCCAATGTCCCCAATCCTCAATGTCCCCAATCCCAATTTTCCCAATTTCCTCGCTTTTTTCCCCATTTTCCCTCAATGTCCCCAATGTCCCCAATCCCCCTGATGTCCCCAATCCCAATTTTCCCGATTTCCTCACTTTTTTCCCCATTTTTCCCCATTTTTCCTCAATGTCCTCAATATCCCCAATCCCAATTTTCCCAATTTCCTCGCTTTTTCCCCCATTTTTCATCTTTCCCCAATGTCCCCAATCCCCCCAATGTCCCCAATCCCATTTTTCCCAATTTCCTCACTTTTTTCCCCATTTTTCCTCATCTTTCCTCAATGTCCCCAATGTCCCCAATCCCCCCGACGTCCCCAATCCCATTTTTCCCAATTTCCTCACTTTTTCCCCCATTTTCCCTCATCTTTTCTCAATGTCCCCAATCCCCCCAATGTCCCCAATCCCATTTTTCCCAATTTCCTCGCTTTTTCCCCCATTTTTCCCCATTTTTCCTCAATGTCCCCAATGTCCCCAACCCCCCAATGTCCCCAATCCAAATTTTCCCAATTTCCTCGCTTTTTTCCCCATTTTTCCTCAATGTCCCCAATGTCCCCAACCCCCCAATGTCCCCAATCCCATTTTTCCCGATTTCCTCGCTTTTTCCCCCATTTTTCCCCATTTTTCCTCAATGTCCCCAAGGTCCCCAATCCCCCCGATGTCCCCAATCCCAATTTTCCCAATTTCCTCACTTTTCCCCCCATTTTTCCCCATTTTTCCTCAATGTCCTCAATGTCCCCAATCCCCCTGATGTCCCCAATCCCATTTTTCCCAATTTCCTCACTTTTTCCCCCATTTTCCCCCATTTTTCCTCAATGTCCCCAAGGTCCCCAACCCCCCCGATGTCCCCAAAGTCCCAAATCACCCCAAATGTCCCCAAACGTCCCCGATCCCATTTTTCCCGATTTCCTCGCTTTTTTCCCCATTGTTCCTTGTCTTTCCTCAATGTCCCCAAATCCCCCAATGTCCCCAAATGTCCCCAAATGTCCCCAAATCCCCCCAAATGTCCCCAATCCCCCCCC